TGTGTGCATGGAGGTATGTGAGTGTATGTGTGTACATGTGGGTATGTGAGTGTATGTGTGTACATGTGGGGGTATGTGAATGTGTGTGTGTGTGTGTGTGTGTGTATGTGTGTATGTGAGTATGTGAATGTGTGTGTACAGAGTGTGTATGTGTGCATGGAGGTATGTGAGTGTATATGTACATGGGAGTACATGCAGGTCCCATAGAGGCCAAAGGGTTAGATCATGTAGCACTGGAGTTCGTTACTAGCCATCGGACATGGGTGCTGGGAACCAAACTTGGGTCTTCTGGAAGAGAAGTAAATGCTCTTAACTCTAAACCATCTTTCCAGTCTCACTGCGCCTTCTTTAAAATTCAGTAAAATTACATTGATCTGTACTCCATCAATTTGAAATGCAGATTGGGTTTGCCAGAGTTTAACTATAGTTTACTTCCCTTATCCAAAGTGCTCAGGACCAGAAATGTTGGATTTTAGATTTTTTTTCCAGATTTTGGAATATCACTTATACATAATGATATATTTATGTTCAATAGCTATAAAGTTAATCTTTCATATTAGAACACATCGAGCATCATTTTCTAGACTTGTCCAAAATTATTTGAAAATAAAATTGTATACAGTACTCTGTAAATGATTGTTGATGTGTTTATTAATCTTTCTTCTCCTGTATGAATCAGGCTTGGTGTAAGGCAAATCACATAAGCCTAGGAAGACAGTTTTGAGTGCACCATAATATTCTAATCCCTTTTGCTATAGTCTGATCAGTGTCCCTCCAGACTCACATGCTGAGACCTAGCTTCTCTCTTGAGCAATGGGTCAGTTTCATATGTAAGATTCAGACTCTAGTGCAAGAGTCTTAAGGGACTGAGCTGTTAGATGGTGATGATGTAATGAGGGTTCCACCCTCAAGGATGATGTCAATGCCTTATGAAGAAATGGAGTTGTTTTTCCTCCTCTCATCTGAGTACATACAGAAGACACTGCTTATGAGGAATGGTCCAGTGGCAGACACCAAATCTACTAGCACTTTGATCTTGAACTTCCCGATCTCTGGTCTATATGAAATGAATTTCTATTTCTTAGCCGGTCAATGACATTCAGTTACAGTAACATGAATGGGCTAAGATATCTCTTGTTTCATCGTTGCTTTAATAATTGTCTCCATTCCACAGGAGCTTGAGAGCCAGCCATCCAGCAAGGCTAACAACCTCTCAGGACATATAGTGGCAATAGTGTTGGATGGCAGTCATAAGGCTGCTCTGTAATGCCTTCTGCCAGATTGCCAGCTGGATAGAGTAGGCAGATGCATTGCATTTTTCTGCCCAGAGCTGTGGAGGAGGAGTCCATGGGAGGATATCTTTTTTTCCTTTCCACTTTTCCTGTCTTTAATTCCCATTCAAGTTAGAGTTGTATTACCTAAAGAACTAAAACTTGAAGGTCACAATTAATCGTTAATACTTCCCCTGAACTTACTGCTAAGGACCTGGCACCATCATGTGAGTTGAAAGCCAGAACCACTCATTTCATTGGAACAAGCATGCACTGGGGGCCCATTTTAAAGATGAAGAATGGGAATTTTGAGGGACTAAGTACATTATCCTAAATCCTCAAAGGAGAATAGGACTGAGATTTAGGTCACAGTTTAAAATGGGCTCTTTAATTCCTGCTACCAGTTACTACCAAGAGAGAAGAATGAGTTGGTCATAGAGTTTGTTGTCCCATGAAGCAGAGAACAGCAGTGACCCAGGAGTGGTTTTAAGTTCCCTAACAAGCGTAGGTGTCTCTAGGTCGTGGTCTCTGTTGGATCTGCAGTAGAATATGCATCTGATAGTGCCATAGAACCTACCTCTTCACGTGCACCACATACTTGGTATCTATGTAGGTGGGCTTCCCAGTGTTCCAGGTGCACATCATGTTGTCTGAGTATTCGTAGATGACACATGTCACTTGGCTGGGGGCATCTGGTGGATCTGCAACAAAATGAATCACTAAGAGTTGCTCTTGATAAAGTAGGTAGTTTATAAATCATCAGTTTCATAGGGAAACTGGGCCACTTGGCACTGAGTACCCAAGGGCTCCTCATTCCACTACTACTACCTTGTACCCAGTTTGTCACCAAGCATTGCCCCTTCCCGCACTGTACTGTCCTGTGGGCTCTACTGCTTTGGGATACTAACAAGGTCGGAATCCTCCCATTCACATAAAGCAAGTCCCCCGCCCCCAATTCTCCAATCCTATCTCCTCTCAGCTACCACTCTACCTTTCTTACTTTTTAATCAAGTCATTAAAAAATTATTCTTATACATATTTTTGTGTGAATGTATGTGTGTACAGTGTGTGTGTGTGTGTGTGTGTGTGTGTGTGTGTGTGTGTGGTCTGTGTACACTTATGTGTGTGAGAATTCTGGCACAAGTGGAAGACAGAGGCCACACTGGATGTCTTCCTTCATTACTTTTCATATTATTTTCTAAATATGTATTTTATTGTAAATTACACATGTCTGACTATGTGGGAATTTGGCATGTAAGTGCAGATGCCTCTGGGGAGACAGAAGAGGGCATTGAATTCCCTGGAGCTGGAGTTGCAGGCTGTTGTAAATAGCCCTGTGTGGGTTTTGGGAACTGAATTTGGGACTTCTACAAGTAGAGTATGTGCTCTTAACCCCTGAACCACCTCTGTAGCCTTTCATGCCCCTTTTCTCTTCTTGTTGCTATTGTTTTTTGTTTGTTTGTTTGTTTTGAGGCAAGATCTCTCACTGATCCTGAAGCTCACTGATTGGGTAAACTGGCAGGCCAGCAAGCCCTAGAGATTCTCCTGTCTTTGCCTCCTCAGTACTGGGATTACAGGCAGCCATCATCATGCCAGGCTTTCATGTGGATACTGGAGATCTAACCTCAGGTCTTCATGCTTTCATGGCAAGCATTTTACCAATGGAGCCATCTCCTCAGCCCCTCTGGTCTCTCAGGATTAGTTTGCACGGTTCTGCTGAAGCCACAGTTGTTAAGGTCACAGGAACTTTCTGTCTGGAAAACTCCTTCCTGTCCCATCAGAATTCCATCAGTATCACAGAACTTGACCTCTGCAGCGGCTGACCTTTCCCCTTCAAGCCTTTGTTCTCAGGCTCTGTGAGAGATTCTTCAGCTTTCCCCTATTGGTCCAGAAGACTCTTTCCTCCGATGGAGTGTGTATTTTACTTTCCCCCTTGAAAGTTTGCTGTTCCCATGCGATTCAGCAGTAAGGGGAAGGAAACTTCCAACCATGTTACAATATGCATGGCACCTGAGGACACTGTACAGAATAAGCCAGACACAAAAGACTTGCATGGTTCCTCTTAGAAAAGGTATCTAGAATAGTCAAATTCACAAAACCAAAGGTAGAATGACAGTGGTGGCCTGTTGTGCAGGTAGGCAGTGTGTGGAAGACCAGGATGAGAGCTGTTATTCAACAGTAGTTCCCTTTGACAAGAAGAGTCCTAGAAAGAGAGTGCTGGAAGGAGATAAGCAAATGCAGCAACCGCCACTGAAGCAAACCCTTACAATTGGCGAAAATAAGTAGGTTATACTATGTAGATTTTACCATTGCCACATCAAAAAGGTTTTTTTTTTTTTTAAGCTTTGGTATTCATAGAACTATTTCAAGATGTGCTCTCTCTCCCACATCCCTGACCACACCCCTACCCACTCACCCCGGCCCTGCTTGTCCTCCTCATAGCCTCATTTTTTTAAAAATTTTGTTTTGTCTGCTAGCATTTTTTCCTATGAGAAGCAACACTATCCCCAGTCTCCTCAGCTCCATTCTCCACCCAAGTCTAGCCCAGGGATGTCAGTAACTAGGTCATGTGCACAAGGGTGCCCTTGACCTAAGCTGACTAATCAGAGAATTTCTCTTGGGAATGAGCTCATGACTCAGAATGAATCAATAAGAATTCTCTAAGGGTCTCCCTCTCTCCTTCTCCCTCTTCTCTCCCCCTCTCCCTATCCCCACTCTCTTCCCTGCTGCTCTCTCCCTCCGTTTCTCTCTATGCAATACATGAGCTGAGCTGCTTGTGACATTCCTGTCACAGTGAACAGTCCTTTTAGTGGTGCTGGACTTGAGGGTGAATACAGCCTAAGACAAAGAGTTTTGATGACAGTTTTTGGACCCTCAGGGGCTCTGAGGCCCATGTAACTCCAGAAGCCATTGAATGATATCCAGATGTCCAATTATGTCGTTCAACAATAAGCCACCAGGACTGATGTTTTCAAACAAGCATGGGGATACTGAGTGCTTGCTGTATCTCAACATTTCCAGGGCATTTCTCTTGGTTTTCTCCTCCAGATAAACTCCTGCCTGAGATGACTATGCTGAGAATTACAAGACAAATGGAAGAAATCATGGTGGACGCTGGGAGGGGAGAATTATGAAGAATAAAGCTTGGGCCAGTCCGCAGACAATCATGGATTCATGGATCTCTGCTTCTGCTGATGAACTGTCGGCTACTGATGGTTAGGGGTGAACATTATCTTCAGTTATGCACCCGAGAGTGAGCCCACAAGGCACGACAGATGGTTTCAAAGCATGGTCACACAGATGGCCCCAGTTAAAATCAGTAGATCACAAAACAAAAGGACATGAATATGGGGAAAAGACCTGTGAGGAGGAGGGTGTTGACAGGGATGGAGAGTAGACAAAAGACAGTGAGGTTGAGAGCCATCAGAATATGTGTGTGTGTGTGTGTGTGTGTATGAAATTGTCAAAGAGCAAATTTAATTAATATGAAAAGGACACAGACAGTTTGGTATCTGCAAATTGTCTACCAAGAATATTACATGTTATTTCGAGAGGCAAATGAGTCCTTGTGAGTTCAAGGCCAGCCTGGTCTACATAGTGAGTCCCAGGTCAGCCATAGTGAGACACAGTGAGCTAAACAGTGAGACCATTTTCTTAAATGAAACAAAACAAAACAAAAAACCTCAAAAAGTTATTTAGAGCTATCAAATTGGCAAAGATTTAAAAAATGGTATTATAAATTATAAAATGTTAAAATAGATTTATGGAAATCCTGTAACACATTTCTGGCATGGGTACAAATTTGGATAACCTCTGAGGTTTACCCTTTGTGTATTATAACAGTGGAAGGCCAGAACAGGGCTGGCAGGATCCCTCCGTGTGAAAACGTGCTTGTTGCTCAAACTGACAATTGGGGTTTGATCCCCAAGACCCATATGGTGGAGAGAATGGATTCCTTGGGTTATCCTCTGACCTCCACATGCATGCCACGCCATATGCATAGGCACATAAATACACATACATGTGCTCACGTGCACGCAGAATAAATAAAACATATAATTAAAAAAGTTTCTAGTGAGAACAATACCATGCAACCCAGCAGTTTTACAGGTAGGAGTGTATTCTTAGTGAAATATCCACACACATATGAAAATAACTTGCCAATAGTATGTAACTATCCTTCAAAGTAGTGTTAATAATAATGAAAAACATGGAATCCCCCTCAAAACACAAGGCTGAGCAAGCTATGATATACTCTTAAAACACACCTTAAAACAATGTTGTTGGCAATGCTTTAAGGACTTAGAAGTTGTCAGAAATATATTACTGAGTAGTGACTCTATGATAAAGTGATTAAAAAGTATGTTACAAAGAAGTATATTGCAGCAGTTTCCATAGAGGGAAAAAGAAAGGGAAATGCTGAAACTTCAAAGACACATTTCCAATTGTTAAGATGGGATTATGTCATGGGCAGAATGATGGACTCGTGTGCTTAATAGGCATTTCTATTTTTGCTCATCAAAAGCTTTTTAACTGTGTATGTTGAATGTAATCAGTTTTACTATTAAAAGCTGTGTTCTTGGCTATAGAGATGCCCAGTGGTTGAGAGTGTTTGCTGCACAATTATGAAGCCTGCATTTTGGATCATGACACCTGTGTAATGAGTTAGGCATGGTATGCACATCTGCAACTCCAGCTCCAAGTGAAGCAGAAACAGAATAATTGCAACTTGCTGGCTTCCAGCCTAGCCAAGAAAATGTGAGCCTTGGGTTCAGAGAGAGAGAGAGAGACTCTGCCTCAAAGGAAAAAGAAGGAAGAGTAATAGAGGAAAATACCCAGTGACCTCTTCTAGCCTCACTACCTTCACACGCATATGTACATGCATTCTCACACAGAAACCCATACAAACAACTCAATCTTCTTTTTAAAAGCTATTTTCAAACAGCAATGATGACATGAAAGTGCTTTGTAAGAGTTTGGTGAGTGGTAGCGTTAGGTTCCAACGTGGGCTCCCTCAAGGTGAAAGAAATCTTGAAGTTTCATTTGAACTTGAAAGAGGTAAGCATGGCAACAGTACCTTACATCATTCTGTACACTGGGTTGTGAGAGCTTGTGGATTATAACAGTGGGATTATGCCATGGGTAGAATGATGAGCTCGTGGGCTTGGTAGGGGTTTTTCTATTTTTGCTACTTTTTTTTCCTGTGGTTTTAGACAGAAAGCCCTGTAATTTGACAATTACAGAAGACACATGTCAACTTTCTGGACTTTGTTTCACACTATTTTCCATGAAGCAAACGGTCAGGACTGCAAACGGATGGTTGGCAACAACTTCGGAAAAGACAAAAGTGACAACTCTGTCACATGGCTAAGTGAGCAATGTATGTTAGTGGGAAGCCGAATAAGGAGCTAGAGAGTAAAGTCCCAAGAGGAACATCCCAGTGTTAGATTCACTGCTAGGCTATAGCTATCCAAGAACAAAACTGGCTGTCCACTTCTTGAGAATATCCAGAGTACACAGAGGATTAAGATTTTGTTCTCTCACACCCATCCCACCCTTCTACCCTTATTGGATGCTCTCTGATCATTTACCAGGAGATTTACTAATTCAGTCTAACCAGAGATCCTTTGCCACTGAGATCTTCTGAAGGGGCAGGGTCTGTGGTTCTCTTTACTTTGTATTTCTAGTACTTAGCACATTTTTGGGTACATTTGTAAAACAATCACTGAAGTTTATCCCATGAATTGAATGGCGAATTCAAAAGATGATAATGAGAAGAATTAAGATGGAGAGAGGCGTGAAGTTTCAGGTGGAGATCACTAAGTCACTGCAGGAAGGTGCAGGTTAGGCTATCCACACAAGGAGCAACACTGAAAATATTCAGGGTTTTGAGTGTCTAACAATTCTTTCATAATCGTAAGTGTAGGCCAAAGACTGAAAATATGTAAGAAAAAAATGCTTAAAATTTTAAGTAAATGGTTAAGTGGAAACATCACCAACATGGTTTATTTAATTTGACACTTTTCAATGACCCCTATTTGAACAAATTTCCCATCATGTGTTCTCACTTAATCAGAGAAAGAATCTAAGAAGCATTTAAGATTATGGATTATAGTGGAAACTGTGATAGTGGTGTTTCAGGAATCACTCATTAGAAAGACTTTGAAATACCTGTATAGTTTCAGGGAAAACACTGACCCACTTTCCCTCTACCTTCCATGATGTGTCAAAATGCCTGCAACCACTCCATTCAAAACAGTGATGCCTACTTGACATCGTAAAGCTTACAGAACAAATATCTTGTATCAAAGTGGCCCAGTGAAAGCAGTGTGCTTTCTAGAGCACCACAAAACCCTCAAGTCCCCCCTTTTGGCCTAGTTAATAGGAAGTAAGTTTGCTGAGAACTCAGCCCCAAAGCTCATTCAAATTGAACCCAGGGGGTTGAGTAAATTCTTGCCTGGCAGTTGGGTTTTCACACTCATAACCCAAGGTTTCTATGAGGAATTACACCTCAAAAATTAATGAATGGAAAGAGTGATGGTACAGGATGAGAGCTTCTCTTAGGCTGTCCTAGAGGGGGAGCATCCTCTGACTTGGTTCTGGGCTTTGGACAGAAACCCCTCAACCATACTAAGAGTATGAGTCACCTGCACTCTGGTACACACAGGGAAGGGTTGTTAAGTAAAATTTGTAAGAACATGTTTGCTGTTGTTTTGGATGAAGGTCCTTCACTAGGAAAATAAACTAACTATTCAAACCAAAATGAAGGGGCCTGTGCTCAGCACCAAATTGGAGTTTAAGATCAAGTTTGCTTGAAAACAGGAGGCTCAACAGCATCCTGTATTAATGGTTCATTCTCCCAGACCCAGCATAAGGCAGACCCATTCTGCTTTAACTAAAAGTAACATGGTGGTAACTGTTTTGATTTCTTGTTCCATCTTATAAAACCACCTGCTCTGATCTCCATCACCACATCTGTCTGTTTAGAGAATGAGGTGCTCTTTGAATCAGGAATTGTAAGTAAGATACAGAACTGAAACCCAAAGCTGCTGGATTTTTTTTTTTTAATAGAAGTGATACTTATTTTGGATTTTTCCCCCTCTCACTTAAACCAACAACTCACCTTTCCCAGAAACTATGGAGATTTCTCATTTTCCCTCTGAAGAAATTGCATATCACTCTCCACTCTTACATCAACCCCCAAAAGAGAAACAGCAGAACACTGACATATTGAGAGGGTGATTTTTTTTTCCTGAGATTATGGACAAGCTAATAAGATTTCATACTTCTGATGAGCTGTCTGTTTATGGTTTGATTTTTCACAATGCAGGCACATTCTACTGTTTAATGCATTGATTCAAGGCACATGTAGCAAGTTTATTATTAAAGTCTAAAACTTAGTTCTTCAACTCTCCTCCACCTCATCCTATAGCTATCTCATTTGAAAGACATGCATGCTTGGTCAGCTGCCTGGAGTAAAGCACGACAGTGGCCTTATTACAGAACAAGGAAGTCTCCTAGCTTCCAGGCAGTCAATCATGAGGCCAAGTGATCCAGGGGTCTGCTCTGGCTCTTCTTATTTATGATTTGGAGCCGAGGAAGAAGCAAGAACTTAGATAGTATTATAAAAATACAAGGGAAGGGAGGGAGCCCTTCTGATCTTTCACCCCAAATGGCAGAGATATACTGGAGAATGAGGATAAGGAAGTGGCTCAGTTAGTTGGTAAGGCGTAAACATGGGGACTTGAGTTTAGTCCCTAGCATCCACATAACATGCTTGGCATGTTGTCATAAGCTTGTAATCTCAGCATTGAGTGGGTGGAGACAGGAAGATTCCTAAGGCTCCCTGGCCAGCCAGACTAACTGGTGAGCCTCAGGTCACAGTGTGAGGCCTTGTCTCAAAAAACAAGGTGAAAGACTCCTTTCAAATAATGCACAAGTTTGACCTCTGGCCTCTGTACCCAAATGCACACACATACATGTACACTTGCACACACAATCACAGACACACTAATACTTAAAAAACAAAAGGTCCATAGATATTTATATAAATAAATACAGGAACTTATACACCTTCATAATGTTGTGAACACAAACTGATTTGGTGTGTTTTGAGATAGATTTGACTGAATTTTTCTTAATGATGGCAGTAATGGTAATTCATAATAGGAACTATGGGATTAAGAACAAGAGATTGTATGAGAATCTCCCTATGTATGTTTACTTGTTTGTTTGTTTATTGAAATGGGGTCTCACTATGTAGCGCCAGATGGCTTGTAACTCCTGATAAGAATGGTCTACCCTTAAGCTTACAGAGATCTATCTGCCTGACTCCCAAGCGCTAGGATTAAAAGTGGAAGCCACCATGCCTGTCTGGAGAATCTTCTTATGATTTATCAACAACATGCATTTAATAAGAAATAGATACTAACATACTTTGAAGTTTTTAACATATATTCAAATAAAATTTTGAAATATTGTGCTTACAATTACTTTCATTTCACAGAAAAAGCCATGGAGGTTGAGGACAGCTAAACAAATTGCCCAAGATCACATAGCTCATTGGGAAGACAGTGAGAATACAAAGATAGTTTTGAAATGCTCCCTGAATCTTGGTTTCAAAATCTCTCACTGGGATCAATGAGCTTCAAAGTGAATGATTTTAGTTTGGAAAACAAATTCACTGACAAAAACCAAATTAAAAAGAGATGAAAAGAGCATCATTTAAACTTTTTGTTGTTGCCAAGGCTTAGGTTGATCAGGAATTCACCATCCTGCCTCCTCCATATCCATCCTTACCTAAGAGAAGCCTCTCAGACCTGAGGTGTTGGCTTTCACATAGACTGTATTTATTCAGGCTAGTGGGGAAAATTGTTCTGGGGGTATTTGCAATATTTTAAAATTTATGGTGTTCACATCAAACTTCCATAATTCTGTCTTCTTTTGAAAACCCAACAGATCAAGGTACACTGGGCCCTCTGTGACAGTGGCTGTCCCAGTGAGCCATAATCTTTCTTCTTTGTATGGGTCTCACCAGCCCCCATAACTCAGAGCTGATGAACCTGACTCATTTGAATTGAGCCCCTGTCTTAAACCTATATGATAGGTCAACTGTAGTGATTTGCCTCTAGCTTTAGTTCAAAAGTCCAGCAATTATCAGTTAACCATTAAGATACACCATAGTACTTACATCCAGAGGAAATGTCCTTCCCACAAATGAACGTCTCTTGAAAATGCCCAGGACACTCGGCAGTGCAATGCATAGAGGCATGAGGTTCCCAAAAGCCTTTGTACCAAAGTCGAGCTGTTGTTCTATTAATCCTTGTGATAGGAGATTTTTCTCTGCGGCCGTTTTTATAAAAATAAAGCTTCATTGGTCGGCAGTTCTTAAGGGCTTCTTGGCAATATATAGAAACATTCATCCCCATCTGAAACATTTCACTAGGCTCTACCCACATGTTACCAGAGCAGTTTATAGTTGTAATTCCTGGAAACAAACACATAAAATAATCAATTGTGCTGGCAAAATATTGTAAGGGATTTAGAAGAAGAATGTGCCACTGCATGTAAAATGTTTTCTTTCAGTAACTGAATGATTACTGAAGAACAGTTGTATGTTTTCATTTTGGTTCCCCTGATGAGCAGCAGCTCGACACAGCCTCTGAGCTTTGTCCTTGTCAGAGAGCAAATACAATTTCCTTTTCTACTGTAAAGTGGAGACCATTATGAAGTGACAACATTTTTTCATAGATGAGACTCAAAGTAGTGCACGGGGCACTGCAGAATTCAATTCTATGCTTTTGATACTCAACCAATCTTTTGTTGGTTGGAGGGGGGCTGTTTTTGTTTGTTTGAGATAAAAAGTTCCTTTTATCAGCATAATGTGACTATAATGATCAACTCCTTACAAAGAGAGAGTCCTTAATAGCTACATGAAACTTATCATTAATTTGATAATATAGGGAAAACAAAATACATTATTGAGTTAAAAAGCAAGCTGCAAAACAACATAGTTCGTAAAAGCTCAACACTGGGAAAAAGCAAATAATGGACGAATCAAGGAGAAATACTGAAAGTTGTTAGCAACAGTAATCTCCATGATAACATTTTTTTTTAAATTGTGTATGTCTATGACTTAAACATTACACAATGGGTAAATTACTTTCATGACACCGAATCACTAATTTTAAAGCTCAGTGGCAGTGTTTGCCTTGAGTTATGTTCCCATCAGACTCGCCTAATAGTAAAGTCATTTATATAGAGTCAAACGGAATGGAATGTTAATGAAATAAAACTCTTATCTAGAAAACATACCAGAAGTTTTATGAAATGTGTTGTAGCTTTTCCTGGAAGCACTTGTATTAAAATATATTTAAATCTTATTAAGATAAGAACAAAGATCAGTATTTGATTTTAAAAAGGTCCTTGTCTTTGAAACATAAAGCTTAAAGAACTAGCTTGCTGAGTATGTAATTTAAGATTTCATTTTGTTTAAGTAACATTTAGACATAAATTAAAAATATTTAAATGTTGAAATAGTAATAAAATAATTACAGCATCATCAATAGGTACCAGAACCAGAGCCACGAAAAGGGAGTTTGTGACAATATCTGGGCAATCTTTTTTGTCGTTGTTGTTTTTGTCTGTTTTTCGAGACAGGGTTTCTCTGTGTAGCTTTGTGCCTTTTCCGGAACTCACTTGGTAGCCCAGGCTGGCCTCAGACTCACAGAGATCCGCCTGCCTCTGCCTCCTGAGTGCTGGGATTAAAGGCGTGCGCCACCACTGTCCGGCCACCTGGGCAATCTTATACTATTGTAATCCCAGGACTCAAGAGACTGAGGGAGGATGACTACAAGTTCAGGGCCAGCATGGGCTACATAGATTATAAGATCTAAGCTAGCCTGGGCTGCACAACAAAGAATGAGAGCAGGTGAGATGGCGACCAAATTTGGAGACATGAGTTTGATCCTTGGGTCTCACATAGTGGAAAGAGAGAAGTACATTGTCCTCTGGCCTCGTCCTTGTGCCACGGCACAGGCTCTGTTCCCCAAACAGATGAATCAGTGTGAAAAATATTTAAAAAGAAAGAGAGAAATACCTACCAGGGCATGGTAGCATATTAGTAGAATCCTAGCACTTGGGAGGCTGAAGCAGGAGGATGGAGAATTTGAGGTCAGCCTGTATCACATAGCCAGTTCAAGGCTGATGTACAAATTGTGGCTTGATCTTAAAAAAATAAATGAAAGAAGAAGATGAGGAGAGGTAAAAAAAAAAAAGGTAGGAGGAGGTGGAGGTGAAATGGGGCAATATTGAGTAGAGCAGCATGGGTCCAGAGTAAGGATGACAGACAGATTTGTGAAGTTCTCTCTCTCTCTCTCTCTCTCTCTCTCTCTCTCTCTCTCTCTCT